CAATAATGAGGCTACAAATTAGTAAAATAAACAAAACAAATACAATAAGTAAAAAATGCATACATACTTTAGTTCCATATCGTTATGGTAGCCATCCCTGTGCTAATAAGATCTGGGCTGGATGAGGGACATGAGGAAAGCAGTGAGAATGATGAAAAAAGACAGAGATTAGGTATAGTACAAACACATACAAAGTGGATGGAAAATAAGGCAGAGACAGAAAGAAGGGTGAAATTGGTGATAAGTGAAATAATTAAGGTGTCACATGTCAAGTTGTTTTTGTCTTACCGCTTGATTGCTTATAATATGGGTTTCTGTTCTGTTCTTTGAAATTCTCACTAGCTAATTTAAATTCTTCAGCCAGTTTTTAAATCCTCAAATATTTACTCTTCTTAAAATGGAATAGTCAAAGTAGTAAGGAAAATTTGTTCTATTATGCTAGTGGTCAGCACTCCCTCCCTGGCCAGATGAAAATTTCACCAAAATCTTTCTTCTCTTATACTAATAACCTTGAAATTTGAGAGTGCTAACATGACCCTCCCTTTAGAAGTGACCAGAGTACACACACTTCTCATAACTGACTCAGTTTCAATTTTACCTAATTCCAGCCATTAAATTAGAAGGTACTTATTTCAGATATCATCACCCCAGCAATAGGAAAAATACTGTAACAAGTGAAAGTTTGGCATTTCTCCAAACATCTACTACTTTCTGAAGCCCTACCACTTCTATTTCTACACTTGTCTAAGACAACATTCTTCAAAATCCTAGATAGAAACACAGATCTCTATGTAACTTTTTGGGATATGTTGAATCATATTAATTAGGAAACTTAAATACTATAAGCATAGGGTTAGCACTCAACATATCAAAATTAATAGTGCATGGATTCATATATTAAACTAATCTCTACTGAGGTAGGCCTAATCTGTGCCAGTTTCTATCTTTAACACTTGAAATACAGACAAGTTAGATGAAGTCCTTACCCTCAAAGACCTTACATTCTAGTGGGGGATAAAGACACATACAGAGAAAATTAGACACACAGGCTAAGGAAGCACAGAAGATAAGTCTTGAAGGAAGTGAAAAGGCTTCCAGGGAAGTAGCATGTTAATGAAGGAGTAGGAATTGAAGAGAAGATGTTTCAGACAAAATGGCAGCATGAACAAGAGCAGAGAGATGAGAAATAGGCTAATAGTTTCTGGAAACCAAAAGCAGTTTGCAGGTTCTGACCTAACACAGATCATGGCAGAAAGTAGGAGGGGATACGCCTGGAGAAGGCAGGAAGGAACAAGATGGCAAGGAGCTATGAAGCTTAGATTTTTATCCTCAGAAAATAGAGAAACAATCGAGGGTTTTAAAGTGAGGAATGGCATTGAAAGATGTGCACTTTAGGTGAAACACTGTAGTGGTTAAATTAAGGGTAGATTTGGGGAGACAAAACTGATGGCAGGGAGAGTAGTTAGGAGGTTGTGGCAATGTTCTAGAACAATGCTTCTCAAAATTTATCGTGAGTACAAATGACCTAGAGATCTTGTCAAAATGCAGTTTCTGATTCAGTAGATCTTCAGTGAGGACTGAGATTCTTTTTCTAACACGCTCACAAATGATGCTAATGATGCTGGTCACAAACCACACTTTTTTTTTAAATTTTTTTTTTCAACGTTTATTTATTTTTGGGACAGAGAGAGACAGAGCATGAACGGGGGAGGGGCAGAGAGAGAGGGAGACACAGAATCGGAAACAGGCTCCAGGCTCTGAGCCATCAGCCCAGAGCCTGACGCGGGGCTCGAACTCCCGGACCGCGAGATCGTGACCTGGCTGAAGTCGGAGGCTTAACCGACTGCGCCACCCAGGCGCCCCACAAACCACACTTTGAGTAGCAAAGCTCTAGGAGAGATGTTGAAGGCCTGATCTAGTGTGGAAAAAGCAGGGCTCGAGATAAGGGAACTGGTAAAACAGTCATAGCTCTGTGTTTCATTAGATAAAGAAGTGAAGAAGGTAATGTTGGGGGAGTCACAGTCAACTACAGGTTTCTACTTTGAACGAATGGAATTGAAATGGTTATGAAGTATCCAGGTAAAGCAGTAGCTGCCAGTTGGATAGGAGTCCAAAGCTTGACAGAAAGGTCATAAGCATACAGATAAGATGAAATCAGGGTAACAGATCAGATCATATTTGTATAGTGAGGGCAAAATGGAGCCACAGGAACACCCACATTTAGGTAATGAATTTAAAAAAAGAGCCCCCAAAGAAAACAGAAAAGAAACAGAAACACACAAGAAGAGCAGAGCCTTAGGAGTTACATATGACAAAGATTAGGGCTTTAAGAAGGGAGTAATAAATATTTTCACATGAAGCAAAAAGGTCTAGTAAGGAAAGAACTGAAAAAGAACAGTGAGTGGAAGAAGAGAAGTGGGTGGAAGAGAGAATATGAAACGCGAATAAAATACACTAGTAGTGAGAAAGTGCCTGTGGGGGAAAAACGAAAAAAAATATGGTTAGAAGAGCAAGTGGATTCCTTCAGTCAGGATCAGAATCTTTATTGTGCCTGAATTCTTGCCACTCTTTCTAGTTCCTTTGTTAATACTCTTTCCTTCCCACTTCTACAAATCTAAATCATACACTTCCTCTACGAACATTTTCTGAATCATGATGTTTTACTCCCCTGGTTACCAAAAATACGTACACAAAAATTCATGCCTGTAGCTTCTTACAATGAAGTATCATTAACGTAACTAGTTTACACACTTGCTCCTTCAGGGAAAATGGTATACCCTCATTTGTATTCCCAAGAATAAGTAGCCTAGTACCTTAGAGACACTTAAACCATACTTAGTGACTAAATAATATAACTACAGCGTCACTAATTAAAAATACTTCCTTATGTACCTACGACATAACATGAGACCATGGGAATACCTGTACTTGATTCTATAATTAATGAAGGTCATCTAAACTTTTCTGAGTCTCATTTTCTAGAAACCAACAGATGGACCCTGAAGTCCTTACTCATCTAAGATTCTATAATCCCATGAGTACTATCAACCTACTACTCAATATGAGTAAAATAATATATACATTAAGACAATATGTTTCATAAAATATAAATTTTCTATGAAAGAGTTTTGGTATATTTTTACTGTTTACCATTTGCATCTGATTTTGCTGGAAGAGGTTTCTCTCTTATCTTGTCTACAAACTTCTTCCTAGCTTCATTTCTTTTGTGTTTTTTCCCAACATAATGTTGTTGGGCCATTAATGGACTATTAAAGGAAGCAGGACAGAGCTTGCAATACTTGTTTGGATTATTCAAATCCAAAGCACTGCTGGAAGAGGAAGGCATAGTCTTGTCTTTAATCCCACCTGGAGGAAGCTTGACAGCAAGAGGCTTCAGAAAAGTTGATTCTGCAGAAGTAGTAATAGGCACACCTGCTGAAATAGTTGTAATGAGAAGTGATCAACATGTATTCAGCTATCAGATCTGCATTCATTATAAAGTATTAGGGAAATTCAGAATTCTTTGAAAACTTGCTATCTTTGGACATTTTCCTCACAGGGCTGTTGGATAAAGGTACTCAGGTTAAAAAGAATTTCCTTCTGTGAAAACAAAAATTTGGATGCAAGTCTGGCACCAAGTTTCTCCAACAAAGGTACAGGAAGGAAGAATATTCAGCATTAGCTTTTAGCTTATTACATTAATTTGAAAAATAAACAAAAGCATGAGAGTTTAGGATGATTCTTGAAATTAGTGAGGGTAAAACAGAGGGTGCCAACTTCTAAGTTGGTGCCTTTCCTGAGTAGCACAGTAAGCCTATTCAGTCCAGATTTGTGGTGTTTGTATCAAAATAAAATTTATGCAGTTATTTAAGGCTATACAATAATGTTTCCACAATTACAGTTATTTCAGAGCTCTTATATTTCATAACCTCTCTGAGCTCAATTTGATGAATTGTGGGGACTGAAAATAAGACTTTACACGATACTTTCTATTGTAGGACATACTGATTCCAACCCTCTTTGGACCGACAGGAAGAAAAACAAATATACAAAAATTAGAGAGACTAGAATAAGTTTAAAAATAATTCTGATTTAATTTGTTAAGATAAAAGTATGTTTTAATGCTGTATGAGGCCTACAATATGAGTTGGAAATTAACGTTGTTAAATTTTCCATGCCATGCATGCCTTATTCCTAAAGTGTTGAAGCTAGTGTGAATGTGGTAACTTATTTATTGCAGAGGATTAATCATCTCATTTTTTGTTCAAAACACAAATTTGATTTTTCCAGGGTATACTCTTCCACTTTAGGCCAGAAGTGAGATCTTTGTGATAGATTTCTCATGCGCTGGTGACTCAACATCACTGGAAGGAGGAAAGAGGGAATGTTTTATAGTTCTCTGTATCTTTGGGATCTAGCATAAAATAAGTGCTCATTACTTATTGATAATGTTGGTGGTACTTTTTATTTATATTCAGAGGAAAAAAGCAGTGAACTATCAAGGTTGAAGGAGAGTCCATAACATATGTATTTCTTTTGCTTATAGTTATAGTCAGAAAATGCTACACCATAACTATATTATGATGAAGACACTGGTCTGAACATGTGAGAGAATGCTTTAGAAAGTACTAAAGAAAAAAACTGTGATAGGTGGCAAGGGGAAGAAGTAAGAAGGAGCTAAGATTTTGTGATTTGATTAGAACCTGGACAGCTCAGGCTGCTTTTTATTGTTTCTTTATAGCAGCATAGCAAATAACTTGTTTTCATTTGTATTTAATAAACTGAAAAGGAAAGGTCATAACATTTCTTAAAATTCATCTAGCAATTACAATCTCCATATTAAATGATAAAGACACAGAAAGAGATTACTGGGCAGAAGAACAAGAATCCAGTTATTGCTCCAGAGTGAAAGTCTCTCTAATTAAAAAATGGGTAGCAGGTTGGAAAAAAAATGACAGGGAGACCCTGTATGGAAGCTAAAGAGGTGAATATAGCCTTACCCAACTCTGGCTGAAATCCTGATGGAGATACCTGATCATGCTCCTCCATTAATTGCTTCAGTTTTTTAGCATGGACTTTTCCCACATAGTGAGACTGAGCAACAACTGGAGAGCTAAATATCATGTTGCAGAGATCACAAAATTTGTTTCTGTCCACAACATTACTCCTATGCACCTGAAATAAGCACAATGTTGAAATAAGCACAATCTTGTTAGAATGATTTGATAACTCAAAGTTTAGAATTATGACATCAATATAGGCCACTTACCTTAAATTTCTTAACATCCATCTTCATTTTCTTACCAGGCACTTCGTTTTGTTCCCCATGAATTTGAGAATAAAACCTAACATTTTGAGCATGTTTCTCACTCTGAAAAAAGATATAATATGACTTTGTACATTCAATGACAGAGGCACCCCAAATTTACACCTCTCTGAATTTCAGGATGGCATTTGTGAGTTGTAATGTATGTGGTGTGTACCAAGTTTATGAAAGAGCTTCACATGCTTTTTCAAATCTCTAAATCTCAGTTAAAATGAAAATAATACTATAATTTAGAGGTCAATAACTTTATGTTCTTGTTTTTAACAGGCTCCTGGTTGTTTCTCAGTATCAAATTTCTTCTGCTTACTTACACATATTGGGCAACATACCCAGATAAAAGACTGCATGTTTCAGCTTCCCTTTCAGCAAAATGTGACCATATGACTAGATTCTGGCCAAAAAGATATAATCTGAACTGTTCGGTGGAACTTCTGAGAAACCTCCTTAACAGGCTGGGAGATGAGCCCCTCTTCCAGCCTTCTTCCCTCCTGTTTCTGGAATTAAGATGGAAAGGTCAGACTTCGAACAGTCATCTGGGACTATGGGGGATCTTGAGGACAAAAGCTAGCTCATCAAAACAGAAAGACAGAAAATACCTAGGTCCCTGATGATGTCATGGAACTGTCATATCAGCTTTGCACTGGATACCTCTCAAATTCTTTTATGTGAAGATTTTAACCCTTCAAGGTTAATTAAGCATATTAGAGATTAGAAAAATCTCTAAAAATGTGTAACAAAATATATAAGAATAACAAAAGTATTGGTGTTGTGGTAGAAGGGAAACTAATATTCCTGAGCACATGCTGTGAGACAATCACTATCTACAGAATTTTAAATTATGAAATATATCCATCTTATAGAAAAGCACAGGAAATAATATAGCTGAAGCCCATACCCACCACATATGTAATTCTACTTCCTCATGCCCACAATCTCTTCCTCCTTCACTCTCTCCCCATTAGTAGCCACTGTCTTAGAGTTGATCTATATCATTTTATTTCATGCTTTTCCTCTTTTACCACATATGCATGTACCCATAAATGGTATTATATACTATCATCATTTAAAATTTTTATGAAAATAGAACCATTATATTCATATCCTTTTCAACTTGCTTTTTATAACTCTCTATTATATTTTTAAGATTTACCCATATTGGTACAGATACATCGCATTCATTTCTGCTACATGCTGCATAATATTCTACTCTATATGTTACCCATTTAGTCATATATTGAAGGCAGTTATATTTGTTTATTTGGCTATTACAAGCATTTCTCCATTGAATACATGTAAACACATCTCTTAATATATATGTCAAAGGCTTTCTTTAAAGTCGATACCTAGAAGTAGAATTCTCTTGACTTACAAGATTTGAGGATTTTCAACTATAATATGTATTATAAAATTTGCCCCCAAAGATGTTGCAGCAGCTCACAACTCCAAATGCAGTGAATTTAAAGGTTTCTGTCTTTGTATATTCTCCTGAAGTGTTATGTGCTATTAGATTTTAATTTTTGACATGATGATTTTGATAACACAGCTCATCACTTTAACTTACATTTCCTGTATGATCACTAGTGAAGCTGAGTATCTCTTCTATAGCCTGTTCATATTAATTTCCCATTTTTCTACTGGGTTGTTTCTTGTTCTAACTGATATATAGTCCTTTATATATTCTAGACACTAATCTTTTGTTACCTACATGGGCTATAAATACCACTCAATATGTGATTTGTCTTTTACCTTTATGATTTTTGTCATATAAATTTTCCTGACTACATCTTTATTTTAAAGCTATAGCAATGAGGCAAAACTCTTGTACAGAAAGGCAAACAAAGCAATACAATAACACAGAATAATAGCCACAAAACAAACATATATATGAAATTTAGAATATGAAAGAAGTGTCACTACAAATCAATGGGGCAAGAATGGACTGTGAAATCAACAGTGCTGAGACACCTGGCTTTCTGTATGGAAAAAATGTCATCAACACCTTCCTCCACATGCAAAAATCAATCCTAGATGGATTAACACTTTAACATATTAAATAAAACTTTTAAAGGTATTAGAAGAAAATAGAGGGAAGTATCTATATGACAAAAGTGCAAGAAATGGTTGCTTAAACAAATAAGTATATACAAAAAGGGAAATATTAATAACTGCAACATCATTAAAATTCAAAACTTCTTTGTCAAAGGTTAATTGGCCATATAATTGTAGATTTATTTCTGGGTTTTCTATTCTGTTCCATTGATCTATGTGTCCATTTTTGTGCCAGTACCATACTGTTCTTTTTTAATGTTTATTTATTTATTTTGAGAGAGAGATAGAGAGCAGGGCAGGGGCAAAGAGAGAGGGAGATGGAGAATCCCAAGCAGGCTCTACAGCTGTCAGCGCAGAACCTGACATGGGGCTCAAACTCATGAACTGTGAGATCATGACCTGAGCCAAAACCAAGAGTCGGAGACTTAACCGACTGAGCCACCCAGGCGCCCCAGTACCATACTGTTTTGATCACTAAAGCTTTGTAACATAACTTGAAGTCCGGAATAGTGATGATACCTCCAGCTTTGCTTTTCTTTTTCAAGATTGCTTTCACTACTCCAGGTATCTTGTGGTTCCATATAAATTTTAAGACTGTTTGTTCTAGTTCTGTGAAAAATGTTTTTGGTATTTTGATAAAGATTGCATTAAATGTGTAGATGGATTTGGGGAGTATAGACATTTAACAATATTTGTTCTTCCAATCCATGAACATGGAATGTCTTTCCATTTCTTTGTGTCCTCTTCATTTCAGCAGTGTTTTATAGTTTTCAAAGTACAAGTCTTTACCCATTTTGGTTAGATTAATTCCTAGGTATCTTACTGGTTTTTTTGTAATTATAAATGAATTTATTCCTTAATTTCTCTTTCTGCTGTTTCATTATTGGTGTATAGAAATGTAACAGATTTTGGGGCGCCTGGGTGGCTCAGTTAAGCATCTGACTTCAGCTCAGGTCATGATCTCATGGTTCGTGGGTTTGAGCCCTGCACTGGGCTCTGTGTTGACAGCTCAGAGCCTGGAGCCTATTTCTGATTCTGTCTCTCTCTCTCTCTCTCTCTCTCTGCACCTCCCCCGCACACACTCTTTCTCTCAAAAATAAGTAAACATTAAAAAATTTAAAAAAGTAACAGATTTCTGAATATTGATTATGTATCCTGTGACTTTACTGAATTTATCAGTTACAACAGTTTTTTAGGTGGAATCCTTTGGGAAAACTGGACAGCAATATGCAAATGAAACTGGACCACTTTCTTACATGACACACAAAAATAAATTCAAAATGGATTAAACACCTAAATATGAGACCTGAAACCATAAAAATCCTAGAGGAGGACATAGGCAGTAACCTCTTTGATATGGGCTGTAGCTACTTCTTTCTAGATATGTCTCCTGAGGCAAGGTAAACAAGAGCAAAAATAAACAATTGGAAATTCATCAAAACAGAAAGCTTCTGCACAGCAAAGGAAACAATCAACAAAACTAAAAGGCAACCTGCAGAATGGGAGAAGATATTTGCAAATAAAATATCTGCTAAATGGTTTGTAACCTAAATATATTAAGAACTTATCAAATTCAACACCCCAAAATGAATAATTCAATTAAAAAATGGGCAGAGGAGGGGTGCCTCGGTGGCCTGGTGGGTTAAGCATCTGACTTCGGCTCAGGTCGTGATCTCACAGTTTGTGAGTTTGAGCCCCATGTTGGATTCTGTGCTGACAGCTCAGACACTAGAGCTTGCTTTGGATTCTGTGTCTCCTTCTTTGCCCCTCCCCCCGCTCTCTCTCTCTCTCTCTCTCAAAAATAAACATTAAAACTTTTCCTTTAAAAATAGGCAGAGGACATGAATAGAACTTTTTCCAAAGAAGATATCCAGATGGCCAGCAAACACATGAAAAGATGCTCAATATCACTCATCATCAGGGAAA